TGTAGTAGGATTTGAAATCAGGGAGTGAGATACCTCCTACCGTTCTTCTATTCTTAAGGAGTGCTTTGCTTATTCGGGGCTTTTTCCCATTCCAGGAATTCCTTTTTTTTACGTAAAAGTTGTAATTAAAATCAGGTAGTAGAATCTGATTTCACTCTTCGATAAGTACTAAGTTAGTTAAGTACTAAGTTTATCAACACTCAGTTTGTGTAATTGATAGCCAATCAAAAAAAAATCTGAAAAAGAATTAGTCTTCACATTCTGTGTTTAATTTTATTTCTTAAATATATTCTGTCTCTGATATCCCAAAGACTTAATGGTGGGGGGAGGAGGGAATGGAAAGAAAGTCTAATGAAAATGCTCTTTAGTATATTTGCTGCAGGTCTCTGAGTAGTGTGCTAATTTTTAAATGCTGGTTTGTTCCTCTGCTGTATCACATTTATAAACGTGCTTTCTCTTTCCTGTCTGCTCTTCGGAATACGTTGTTGTGTCCTTATGTTGCCTTAGAGCTGCTGAGATGGGAATGCCAAATAAGAAAACTCTCGTTAAACAAAATCCTTCTGAAACAAGGTGAGAGAAAAAAAATCACTCCGTCTCAGTAAGAGGTTCTTTTCTTTATCAAAGGAAATGGTAATAAATCCCAAGCTTGTTTTTGTTGGCTTTGTTCTTCATCAATAGAACAGTCCCTGCTGAGCTGGACGGTTGTGGCCACAGGATCCACATCAGCCAACACCTGGTCCTGGGGCTGGTCACATGGCAGACCAGATGTTGATGGAACCGTCTGCAGCATATACTATCTCTGGTTGACATTTGAGCGCCCTTTATCCTTTGCCCAGAGGACTTTGATATTTACTCATCTGATTTCCACACGTAAAGAAAAGTAGTATTTTTCTTCTCTCAGATCCCTGAGAAGAAAAGTTGACTTTTATAATATAAATACAGTGTCTAAAGGCAGAATCGGTTAATGGTTAAGTTGGCCAGCTCGTTCTGGCAACAACCTCAGGTTTAGGCTCTTGATGAGCAAAATAGAAGTGTGTTTTAAATTTTAATTATTATTGTTTTGTGTATGTGGTACCATCAAATCAAATCTGACTGGTACAGGAGGATATTGCCCCTCCTTCTCCAGCAGAGCATCTGGTGGATTCAAACCACATACCTCTGGGATTGCAGTGCTGCTTCTTGCCACGAGGCCACCAGAGCTCACCAAAACAGAAGTATTATGATGGATACGCTGCATTGCTTTGTGGCAGTGTAGTGGCTCTGTTGTTGCATAGGTGCCTTCTACCTCATCAGTGAAAAGTGGAGGAGGAGGATGAAATTGTTATCCTTTGGAATTAATCTTTCATTTACTTCGTCAACAGAGTCCTTCAGCCAAACCAGGGACAGAATGCACCTATACACAGACTGCTTACCAGACAAGGGTAAGAATGCCACACACAGGGATGTATCAGAACCCTCCAGTCAAGGAGAGTTCTGAAGAATAAATAAATACCTAGCAAAGATTAGTTTTGACAGGAAAAATTATCAGTTTCATTATATAGAGAACAATTGTTTTTCAAATACGCGATTTTTAATATCATCAGAAAAATTAAAGTTTTTTTTCCAGATTTCTTTTGTCTTCAGATGACCCTCTAGGTGTACTGTTGTGTATTATACTTTAGTTTTTGTCTTGTGTTGGCATGTTTTTACCATCCACTTCATACCATTTTACTCATACTCGAATCAAAATCCCTATTGTAAGTTTAATGTCGTCACAGTGATTATCAAATGACGTATGAGCCAATGGTGACAGTTTGCTGAAGCAAAAGGATAGTTTTGTTTTCTTCCTGTGCACACATTCATGAGACCCAAATTGTTTTCAGGCTTATTTGTGCATTGAACTGTTGAGACAGTGTAGTTGCTTTCTATGAATGTTGAATCTTAATGCAAGTGACTTACTGCCTTTTTTATATTCAACTAGAACCCCTAAGACATCAGTGAAGGGGGTTGTGCAAAATAGACAGAAGTCTTCACAGAGCAGAGTGCCTAGCAGAGCGCCTGTTTCAGGTGTGTAGAAAACGCCTTCCCGAAGCCCGTTCATAGAAGCAAGTGCACGAGCTGCCCCGTAACTTGGGCCGCACACTTGGCTTTTGTTGCTTGTCTTTCCGGCCGCTGTAATGTTGGCATATTCACAGTCCTTCCTGCCAGTTACCAGGCCCCTGCGTATTTCACCGAAGTCAGGCGATCACAGTGCAGCTGTGCCTCCAGTCTTGATTTCTGTCATAATTTTAGGAAAAATTATCTATCTTTTAATCCTAGAAACTTGGAGGATTATCCAAGTTTACTTAAAGAAAACCTTTTTATAAATGAGTGAAATATCATCTGATGCCTGAACTGGCTTAAATCTATACATACTTGTTCCGTTTTGGCGAGACATAATGCAGAGACATTTTTGGACCTGCCTCAAAAGGGATGAACACTGTCTGCCTCTGACCACGTGCTCCCCTGTGAATATGCCAAGAGGGACGGGGTGGGTTTTGCTTTCTTTTCTTAATCCTTTGCTCAATAAAAAATGTGAGCTAAAGCTCTCCAAATGGCCATTGTTTGAGGATTATTTAAGGGTGAAATTTAAAAATGGGGAAAGATTGTATTTTATGGTGGCTAGAAGACAAAAGCCTGGTTGAGCCAATTCAAACCTCTAAAGGTTTGACTATTTCTGGGTATGCTTATTAAGTAAGAGCTTTCAGTATGATAACTAAAAGGTGCGTGATCCAGTAGAAATATTTCAGGAACTCTTCGCTCGATACCACTTTCTACTCACTTAACAAAAATATAAATTAATCAGCATGAAATCTTTAATCAATTCTGATCTTCCCATTACTTTATAATTGGCTGTAAATTGAGATTTTACTACTGAATGATGGACTCCCAAGACAGGAGGTAGTAAACTGCCTGAGAAATGTTTTCATGTTTGTGCACATCAGTTCAAAGGGAGAATAAGATACTGATCATCATTTTGAAATAATTACTTGCATTTTGTATATCTGTAGGGAAGAAAACTCAAAAGCTTGCCTTGTAGACAGGATATTGTAAAAGATGATCTCTCAGAAGTTATTACCAGCGATGGCTAATGGAATCATTTTAAAGGGAATAACTGAGAATCCTGCTTGCTTCTAACTGGGTTGAAAGTTAACCATTTGAGAGAACTCAGACCAGTCACCAGATTTGTTGCTTGGGAAGTCATGGAATTTTCAGACATTCAAGTTTTTCACATCTTCATTTGGTAAATTTTAGATAATTGGCAAATCATTGAAAAGAAGGCCTGTTTTGCTAACAGTATCGATTTGCCTCCGTGCATACCTCCATGTTCTTTTCTCATACTCTTCATCTTCACTTTTTGTTATTTGTGAACTGATAGCCAAATACCAACACTGGGTTTTCAGTTGTTTTTTTGTTTTATTTTTTATTCACAGTAATACTCAACAGTGTAAGGATGAGTCACTGAATAATAATGTTACAGTGAGGTTCAGAATTTAGACCTATTGAGGTTTAGTTGCTCTTTAACAAAATTAATAAATCCAAGTGCATTTGACTAGCAAATCAACACAAGTGAATATGTATCTAAACAAGTACAAAAATGATTTTTAATTTTTTTTCTAAAGATTTTTTATATGAATGCATATTTAGATAATAGAAACTGAAGAGTTTTATCCTTTTACATAATCTATGACTGTTGAAGATTGATTGTTAATGGTGAATTTTAACAGAAGGCTCCATCAAAACATTATTTGCTTGCTGCTTAGATTTTGAATAGCATGAATTGTGTTTTGCACAAATTTGAAACAGTGCTTGGATTTGCTATACATGTACAGTAAACCTGTTACCAAGCAATTTATAGAAGGCACATTCTTGTTAAGTGGGCCAGCATATTCTCACGTAGACCTCGACGGTGTCTGCTGAGGAACGTTTAAACTTGTTTAATTTCTTGTTACTGCAAATTAAATTTCGTTTTCTAATCTTGCATATTTTAAAACATGCTTATTTGCTGTTTTGTGTTTTACTCAAAATTTTATAGAGAAACTCAGAAATCATTAATTAAACCAGAGCAGGAGGTGATAATGCAAAAGGATTTTGTAAAAAAGCCTGTCAGGTGCACTTAGGTCTCAGGACGTTTCCTTTAGCTATTCTTCTGCTGCTTTAGACTGCACACTGGAGATGACATCGACAGTTTGTACCTCAGGACTAGAGTCTATAAAGATTAAATAAGATAATAGAAGCCGTTTAGCTCACTGCCTGGGATGTACAGTCAGCAGCCTTTAAATGGTAGCAATACAGTGAAAATGTAACATTGAGAAATAATACTAGTATTGCTTTACTTTTTAGGAGCATATGCAGGAAAAATCCAAAGAAAGCGGCCAAATGTTGCGACAATTTAAGAAGACAGCATTCATTGGGATGAAGAAGAAAGGCATATTATTCCTCCTCTCTTCCAAATCTTCCCCGCCCCTCCCCCCAAAAATGGTTATTTAACGCTGAGCCCTGTTTGCCTAGGCAAAGTGTGACAGATGGCTGAGCCGGTATCAGAATAATTTCATCGATCTGGCGAATTCCCACGCCGTTCTCCCACCTTCCTCTTCCCGGGAAGGTTGATGCAGACAAATTCATGTTGAGTCATTGCTTCTGAGCTGAACTTATACCAACTTGTTTTGTGTGTCCAGAAACTCTTTTTGTAAACTTAAAGGACATTTGATTTATTTTAGAAAATATTGTAAAGCTATGACACGGGACAAAAAATTTCTAAACATAGTTTCATTCTTCTCTGCATACTTATTGCTGAGTTGACAGAGAAGTTACCTGCTGTTCTATTCAAGAAGAAATTGCAGAAGAATGCTTTCCCCTGATTTTGTAACTTGAAGCACTGATGAGCTTCTCAGCCTGCTATTCTTACAGTATCATCATGCGGATAAAACACATGCTTGCTGGCATTAACCACAAAAAGAGCGTTGGGCTGCCATCTTGGTCAGAAGGACATGCTCCTATGAACAACTAGTTGTCTTACAGAAAGATGAGGTTTGACACATGTTACCCAGTACTGTTAGAAGTATTTCCACTAGGTTTTTGAATCGCTCTCTGGTGGGTAACAAATCTAAATAGCACAATCTTCTTGAGTGTGTGTAGTAGTACTTAGGAGCTTACTATTACATCCATTTCTGTAAAATAAGAATGACATGTTGCATGCGGTTCTGTCTTCTAGTTTGGTCCACTTAATTTCTTCATAATCTTTTTTTAGCATGCTTGATGGAGGAGAGACTAAAGGGCTATATAAAATTATGCCATGATTTTAAAGTAGGGTAGTAATACTAACTAGATGAAGTCCTACTGTACTGTGAGGCACTCAAGTTTGCTATTGTTATTTTATCACTAGTATGTTCAGATATTCAGCAAGGACTGTCACCAAGGGAATATGATTCTGTGAGAGAGGATGTCACTGCTAATTTATCTTACCATTTCCACAAAGGGCTTTATGCTTCTCACATAAAATTGGAATTGTGCACATTTAATCTTTCTGAACTTGAATTTTAAAAGAGATACTGATATTTTAAAACTGCAAATTTGAACTATTTTCTTAATATCCTTTTAAGAATCTGGAGATGACTCTTGTTTTCTTCAGTTTTGGTTCAATTTCATATTTTAACTTTTGCATTTGGCCAGACAGAAAATTATCTCCTCTTAAGAATAAACTTTTTTATTGTTTCTTGATTAACATGTACCATTTTAAAAAATGGGTGAACAGGAAGATTAGAGGATGGTAAGAAAAAAAATGGGATTTTCTTTTTTTAATTTATAGGCAAAGTACAGGAACGAATATCTTTTTAAGATGATAAACTGTGCTTTGTCATTCTGCAAACTCAGGATCCATCCAGCTTCCTCGTGTTGTCAGTCTCTCCAGCAAGGAGGATAGGTGTGAAAAGTTGTGTGTCTACTAACTAGCTAAAAGAAATAGTGGTTTTGGAGAAAGTTAAAACTAGTTTTTGATTAAAAAGTTGAGTGGTTGTTGGAGTTTCTTTTGGTTTGGTTTGGTTTTTAATTTAAAGATAAAAGCTTTTGTGGTTTACACATTTTTTAATGTTAACAGCTTTTTCTCAAAGAAGTGCCAGACACTGTTTTGTGCTTTTGATAAAATTTTATTTATATATGTTATTTTTTTTTATTTTTACTTTGACTGGAATGTTCATTAATGTAAATGATATTTATTTTTATACTTTCATTTTCACTAGTTTACTTCTAGGCAAATGCAAAATAAAGTTTTCACCTTAAAGGAAATATTTGGTCTTTTATTTGCCAAGGAAAGGACTGTTAAGATGATGGGTATTGGAAACTACTGGGCTAAAACATAAGTATTGCAATGCCACCTGGAATGTCATTAGAATGCCCTGGGAATATAAAATACAGAAGCTCAGTAATTAAACTGAGGAGCAGTATTCTTTCTCATGAAAAGATATTCCATAATTTAATATAAAGCCTATACTTTTGTTTAGTTCAGCATCTAAGTTAGAGTTAGCATACATTGCACTTTTTGGGTGGCAGAAGATTACTCGTCCTGGAAACAGCTTCTCATATATATATATATATATATACACACACACACACATACATACATATGTATGTGTGTATAAAATTTTTTTTGTTTCAATGAAAATTTAAAGAGACTTTGGATTTCCATTCATTCATTGTTGTACTTTTCTCCCTGCTCACCCCTCCCCCCAGTACACTACCCTCTTTGAAAAGTAAAAGAAAAATTCTTTCATTGTTTTACAATCCCTCCCCCAGGTCCACTCCACCATGCAGCCTTCACTCTGGACTTCCTGGAAACAGCTTCTTAAGAGCCAGAGATCTGCTAAAGGGCAAATAGGAAGGAAAACAAGGGGGAACTGAGGTCGAAGCTCATGGCCGAGGTACCCATTTGCATTTAGGAGCTCCACATGTCTATGCCTCGCTTTAAGGAAGCAGAGGGATGAGGATGTGCAAGGGAGGGGAGGTTTATCATGGGGTTGGACAATTAGATGGGGGAGGTGTGAGGGAAATTGAATTTGTTCTTGAAAACAATGTATTTGAATTTTATAAATAAACTAGTGGAAAATGAAAAAAAAAATTAAAGGAAGAAGTCTCTTCCACTGTGGCTTCCAAGAACAATGTAAAAACAAAAAAATCTAGGGAGCTCTGGTGGCCTAGTGGCAAGAAGCTACACTGCAATCCCAGAGGTGTGTGGTTCGAATCCACCAGATGCTATGCTGGAGAAGTCAGATCTGATTTGACGGTACATGCACAAAAAAATAAAAATGAAAACAAATCTGCTGTAAGAATAAATATATTATTTAACACACACACAAAGAATGCTGACTTTGTTAACTGCCTCTCATTCAGTATGACTAGTCAGGGCTCCCCAGATCAGTTACTGAGCTGTTGCATTTTACATTCCTAGGACATTGTGGGAAATTGCCTCCCTCCTGTGGCTTCCCTTCAGCTCCCTAACCCACTCTGTGGTGCGGACTCCCACACGTTTATGTTGGCAACAGCAGGTATGTACTGAAACATTGGGGTTTGAACTGAAAACTTGAGGACTGATTCTGGGCATAGAGAGTTGTCTTCCTTGTCAAGGATTACTGTCCCCAAAAAGTCATCTTTGGATGATGCCACATCGAAAACACAAGTTGTTCTGTTGTGTGCCCTTGAATGGATCCTGACTGGCCCGGCGGGACACAGCAGAATTGCCCCACAGTATTTCCCAGGCTGTGTTTTTCACAGAAGCACGTCACTGAATTTTCAGTTCCATGAAGAAAAAATTTTGAGTGGCTGCTGAACACTTTTAACCATTCATTTAGCCACCGGAGTTCTTACATGAATAATAATCATTACTTGAAACAATTCTGCAGCCTTTTCCGGTGGTGACCTCTGCATGCCAACATGTCTCTCTCATCCCTCTCGAGAAGAGGAAACACAAGAAGTGCCTGGTGCAGAGCCTGAAGCCCTATTTCATGCATGTGAAACACCCACAGTGCTATAAAACCACTACAGTCTTCAGCTATGCACAAACAGTTTTGTGTGTTGGCTGCTCCACTGTTCTCTGTCAGCCTTCAGGAGGCTTACGGAAGGAGGTTCCTTATAGACAGAAGCAGTGTTAAGAAAAACACTGGATCAAGATGAATGGGAAATTAACCTTAAGAAACTGATGAAGTTGAAATGATGTCTCTCCTCAGAACTATACCTACTGCTAACAAGTCTGTTCTGATGCATGGCAACCGGCCATCAGTTTCCAAGGTTGCCCAGCTCTCATGCAGAGCAACTGGTGGATTTGAACTGAACTGTGGTTAGTGGCCCAAGACGTAAGGCACTCTTTCCCAGGACACTTTTACAGAACCTAATACCTCAGTGCCATTGAGTCAGTTCTGGTCTGAGTGACCTTCTGTCAGGGTTCAGAGGTTGTGATTCCTCCATGGAGATTCTCCCGTCTGGCAGATTCACTCTGGCCAGCACATTATGGGCTACACCACCAGGGCTGCTTCATAGAAACTTCAAGTCCTCCCACTGCTCTTGAGTCAGAACTGAATCACAGCTGAGTTATCTAGTGTTCAAATTCTCCAGAGATACGAGTGGGTTGTTTCCACATAAGACTTTCATGATTTAAAAGGCTTGGACTCCAGAGTCCCAGCTCTTGTGCAAAGGCTTTCTTTCTTTTTTAAATTTTATTCTGGTTTACATACAAAGTTCATGTACATTGTTTTTCATACCAAATCTTTCTCCTTTCCTGTTCACACTCCTCCCTCATCCAATTGTGCAACCCTTTGATTAAGCTCCTGCTCCCCTCCTTGGAGCCTCATACTCATTCTACAATAATGGTCTTATACAGTATTTGTCCATACGAGACTGAGTTAGTTCACTTAGCATAATGCCCTCCAGTCCCTCCCATGTTAGATAGTAATTTACAAAAAAATCATTGCTCTCGTGTGCTGCATAGTATTCCATTGTGTGAATGTAATTTCTTAATCCATTCCATTTTGGTTGGGCATTTGGGCTGTTTCCATGTTCTTGCAATGATGAATAACACAGCTATGAACATTAGTGTACAAGTCTCTCTTTGTGCCTCATTGAGAACCCAGAAAGGGACCCATCAATCTATGGTCAACTAATATTGAACAAGGAAATAAAACCTATCAAATGGGGAAATGACAGCCTCTTCAACAAATGGTTCTGGCAGAACTGGGTTGCCACCTGGAGAAAGCTGAAACAGGATCAACATTTCACACCATATACTAAAATCACCTCAAGCTGGATCATTGATCCTTGATCTTTTGTTATTCTTGTAAAGTGCTTTCAAGTCCAACTCACAGCTACACTATTATGAACAACACATCTGAACACTGTCCAGTATTTGTTGAGTATTGATCTAGGGCAGCCCTTAGAGACCTAAGTTGCTAGTGATGGGAGAGGGATATTGGCTGTGCTTATCTCCTGTCATGCACACAGCGGAGAGCTTGGCCTTTGCTGCAAAACTTAGTTTGAATCTCAGACTTCCCCGCCCCAAACCCTTTGTATTTCCATTTCCTCTGTGTCTGACTCCTTTTCCACCACTAGAGGGCGCCGGCGGCCTGTTTACAGCCTGGCTCAGCTTGCAGCGCCCACTGCCCTTCACAATCATGGCGCCAGGAAGCTGTGCAGGGCAGCTCTTGATGCTAACGGCTGGTCCTCATGGTTCCAGGAATCTGTGCGATGCGGTTATACAGAGTAATGAGTATTCATGGCGCCGGCAGATGGTATATCTTGAGTAATTGCCGTTAAGTCGCCCGTATCAGAGCGGGGCTTGGGTTGTGGGGGAGGGACAAATAGGCAACTGCCCCTCACAATCATGGCGCTGGAGTTAGACAAGCGCGGACGCCTGCCCTTCACAAATATGGCGCCGAAGAGCGTACGGGTCCCGGAGGACTCGTGCCCCTCACAATCATGGCGGTCGCGGAGGGGCGGGGTCTCGGTGGGCGAGGCCGACCGCGGCCACGGGGCCAAGGTCATGTGACCGGCAAGATGGCCGTCTTTCCTTGGTAAGGAAGAGCTGGCGGGTGGGATTGGTCAGGGGCTGCTCCTGGGCGCGTCTGTCTTTATTTCCGTGCATGAGTGTATGTGCATGAACTGATCTTTTTGTTGGGTTCTGGGAGATTGTCACACTCTTCTTTTGATCTTGACCACAAAATCCCCAGCCGCTATTCCAGAGTGGGTGCTTGGTTCGCTTCTTCTGGTCCACCCATTCACTGCGTCTTCGCTGCCCCTTACCCAGTCATTCTTCAAGGAACACCAAGGGCCAAGAAGTTAACTTTCCCCGGGGAAACTGGGGCAGATCCTCGGAAGCGGTGGGTGCACAGAGATGCACGCAGCCCTGAGTCAGGACGACCCGAGCACTCTGGCAGCTCTTGTTTTTAAGAGCTGCTTAATGCATCACTGGAGACTTTGCTTTTCTCACCTGTAAAATATGTGTGTGTTTGGAGAACCTTCAAGCAAGTTGTGATAGTGATGAGCTTGCCCTGTGTTTCAGAAATACACAGTCTACCTTACCGTTCCCTTAAAACTCAAAAAATTCTGGTCACACCCTCCCCACTACCTTAAGCTCTAAAACGCGCACACACAATCCCTGCAGCGCAGACAAACCCCCCCCTCCCCACACACACAGCCATCAGTATCCCAAACTTGCCCTTGTCTTTAAGTCAACTAGTCTTCATTTTTATCTCTATAGATTAACCAATCCTGAAAATTCCGTATAAACAGAGCCGTGCACTGTGTGATCCCTTATGATTGCCTTAAGTGTAATGCTTTCAGAATTCATTCAGCTGAGAGAACAGCATTCCTTTTCAATCTGAACGCCTTATATTTTATCTACTTGCTAAATTTCAATGGGTAGAACCTCTAGTATGTGATTGAATAGATTTGCCTAGGTGGGCATCTTTACTTGTTCGTAATGTTAAAAATATCTAGTCTGTTCCGCTCAGTGTCATTTTAGTTGTGAACTTATTTGTAGATGCTTGTATTACTGTACTGCAGACTGGGTGATTCATAAGAATTTACTGTCTCCAAGTTGTAGAGGCTGGGTGTCCGCGATCAAGGTATTGTTGGTTTGTTGATCGTTTCTGAGATTTTGAGGGCAGACATCCCATGCCTCTCTCCCAGCTCCTGATAACTCCAGATAGTATTTCGTTTGCATCATTATAGGCATCCTTTCAGCTTCTCTGTTTGCCTTTTCTTTTAGAAGAACATTCTTAAATACAGAGATTAGGATTTTAATACATCTTTTTTTTGGGGACTCAGTTCAGTTCACAGCTCTACCCTTTATCAAACTGAGAATGTTTCCTTTCAGTTTGTGGAGAGGTTTTGATATGAAGTAGCACTGTGTTTTACCTCTTTTGCATCGTAGAGATGTTCATGTGACTTTTGTTTTTTATTCTGTTAGTATGTTGTGGGTGTTAAACCGATCTTGAATTCCTGAGATAAATCCCTCTTGGTTGTGGCAGATATGTCTTCGAGAAGGTGCAGCCAGATTGCTCTTCAGAGGCTAGGATGGGGAAGCTTCATCTTGGGGCTCTGCCCCAAGGGAAAAAAAAAAGAGAAGCTTCGTCTCACCTACTTTGGGCGTGTTGCTAGGAGGAGCTCTTCCTTGGAAGGGGACATCATGCTAGGAAAGGTGGTGGGTCAGCAAACGAGAGGAAGACCATCAGTAAGATAGAGTGACACAATGACTGCAGCAATGGGCTCAAGTATGTCAGAGATGATGAGAATGGTCTAGGATAGGACACAGTTCAGATCTGTTATTTATAGGTTCGCTTTATATTCAGCTGCATCACAACATTTTTTAAAAATAATTTTAATGAACATTTACAGAGAATTTGGATTTCCATTCATTCACACTTAACATTCTTAAGAGAGATTTGTAGTGTGATGTTTTTGGCTTCACGGAATGAATTGGGGACTGTTCCTTTTCTGTTATTTTGAAGGATTTTGTGAAGAATTGGCATTGTGTTTTGTTTAAGTATCAGAAAATCTGCTGGTTCTGAGCTCTCATGGCTTAGTGGTGAGGAATTGCACCATCATTGCAGAGGTACGTGGTTCAGATCCACTAGCTGCTCCACAGGAGTGAGATGGGCAGTCTCCTCCTGTATGATTTGTTTTATTTATATGTTTTATTTTTTTAAAGGACTGACTAAGGGGCGCCTGATCCGGGCTATAGTCTTCGCAGTTGCTTGCTATGAATTGGAGAGCCGGACAGTGACTAGGGATGATAGAAAGATAATTGATGCCTTTGAGCTGTGGTGCTGGAGAAAAGTGTTGAATATACCATGGACTGCTAGGAGAACAAACAAGTTTGTCCTGAAGAGGGTGAAACCAGGCTGCTCCTTGGAGTGAAGGATTCTGAAGCTTCGTCTGACATATTTTGGGCATGTTGCAAAGAGGGACTGGTCCTTGGAGAGCGACATCATGTTTGGGAGAGTGGAGGGATGGTGCAGGAGAGGAAGACCGCTTGATAAAATGAATCTATTCAGTGTCTGGGGTAGTGGGAGTAGGTGTGTCGCAGACAGTGAGGTTGGCACAGGGTGTTGTTGTTGTTATGTGCCATCAAGTCACTTGTGACTCATCGTGACCCTATGTGCAACAGCCCTAAATGCCGCTCTATCCTGTTTTCCTCAATTGAGCCCTCTCACAGGTGTGTAGATTCCCACATCAGAGGGTTCCACACACCTTATTTGCACAGTCCCACCTGCAACATGAACACTTCATTTTTGTGTAGTCCTACCCAGCCATGTTGTGAAAGTAACAAAGACAGTGGCTAGAAAAGCAGTATTAGGTAATGCACTACAGAGAATTAACCCTTACTCTTGTCGTTTGATTTTGAAGGCAGATTCACTGGACGTGGTTTATTTCTGATGTACTTTCCCTTCCATCTGCAGAAATCCCATTAGTTTTTTCCCCCTAGGATTTGTCTGGTGGATGCAAACTTGCTCAGCTTCTCTTGGGTTAGAAGTCTTTTCATTTCACTCCCACTCTTGACGGCGGCGTCACTGGGCTCAGTATTCTGGGCCAACAGTTCTTTCTGTAGTTTAACTATTTGAGGAACTGCCAAGCTCTTTTTCTACCACAATATGACAATTTTACATTCATAAAACAATGTATTAGGGTTCAATTTTTTTTTTCACATCTTTACCAACATTTGTTGCCAGGAAACAAACAGGTTTTGCCTAGAGAAGGTGAGACCAGGCTGCTCCTTGAAGACAAGGATTCTGAACCTTCGTCTGACATACGTTGGACATGTTGCAAGGCAGGACCAGTCATTGAATAGTGACATTATGCTTGGGACGGTGGAGGGACAGTGCAAGAGAGGAAGGTCCTCAGTGAGGTTGATTGATTCAGTGACTGGAGTAATGAGGATAGAGTCAGAGAGAGTAAAGATGGCACAGGATACAGCAGGTTTCAGGGCTATTATACATAGGGCAAGCGTCTCGATGGCATATAACAACAACAACAAACACTTGTTGTTTTCTGTTTGTTTGCTTATAGATATCCTCAAACAGCTTTTTAAAAAAAATATTTATTTAACATATCTTACTGGTTATGATAAAAATGCTTTTCATTCATAAAATAGCCTATAAAGTCCCTACTGAAAGATATTCAGTGTTTCACAGACCCCCTCACCCCCCCCCATTGTCCCGTCCCCCCCCAGTTAACTAATTGGTTTCTGTGTTTTGGGGTTTACTAGGCATTCCAGGAATAGGAACTACAAAGCTGAATTTGCATCATGCCGACTGGAAGCTGTGCCCTTGGACTTTGGGGACTATCACCCACTGAAACCCATAACTGTAAGTTCAGTCAAGAACTCTGTAAATGATACTCTCATTCCATAAAATTACAGGCAGTATTCTTGGACCTTTTCTGTTTTGCCAGTGGTCACTGCTTTTGCATATTTGAATCAACCAATTTCCTGCCCCTCCCTCCCCTCTTTGTGTGTGTGTGTGTGTGTGTGTGTGTGTGACGGGGTGTAACAGAAATTTATATTAAGAATTAGCCAGCTGGATTCAGTTGAGATGGTCCCAATTTTGTGGGCAACATTCAAATCCTCATAGTTGGGAGCAAGCTGCCTTCCCTCTCTCCCTCAGCCATAGTCAAAGTGTTGACCTTGGCCACATCAGTGTCATAGAGCTTCTTTACAGCTTGTTTGATTTGGTGCTTGTTGGCCTTGACATCCACAGTGAACACAAGTGTGTTGTTATCTTCTGTCTTCTTCATAGCTGACTCAGTGGTCAGGGGAAATTTGATGATGGCATAGTGGTCAAGCTTGTTTCTCCTGGGGTGCTCTTCCGGGG